AATATTTAATCAGATATAATAATAAAAATCAAATATTTAATCAGATATTATAATAATAATAAAACTCATGTTTAAAATCTGGGACAAAAATCTCATGAAACTGTTTAAAGTGAAGTCTGTCCTTCCAGCTGAGCCAGGATGTCCGGTAGCTGAAGCACAGTAGGGACGGTGAAGTCTGGTTTCACCGGACCATCCGACTCAGAACCGCTGATCCAAACGGTGGCCCGGACCCCGGCGCTGACGCCCCCCTGAATGTCCGTGTCCAGAGAGTCCCCGACCATCACGCAGTCCTGCGGTTCCACGCCCAGCAGGTGGAAACACGTCCTGAAGATGGACGGGGACGGTTTCTGCTCAGGGTATTCCCCCCCGACCACGACGGCGTGGAAGAGCTCCTCGCAGCGGACCGCCTCCAGCTTCTCCCTCTGCGTCTGCGCCTCCCCGTTGGTCAGCAGCAGCAGCTTGTAGCGGCCGCGGAGCCGCTTCAGGAGGCGGCGGACCTCGGGGGACAGACACAGGACCTGCAGGCGGCTGTTCTTCCACAGGAAGTAGCACTGAGACGCCAGAGAGGGRGGGGCGCGGCGGCCCAGCGTCTCCGCGATGCTTTCCTCCCAGTGACGCACGCGGAGGTCGTCGATGGTTCCGACGGACCCGTCTTTTTGCTCGTGGAGAAGCTTCTGCTTGAATTTCTCACTGATGGTTTGGATGGAGGCGTCATCCAGGTCCAGTTCGGTCTTCAGAAGCTCGCTGGTCTGCCAAGTTCAGACAGAGGACTTCATCAAATAAAAACACCATATAAACATATATAACTAGGTAAATATCAGAAACTTCAGATTAAATGTATTTATCATCAACAACTAGTACCGTCTCTAAGTTAACAGTTTTAGCACTTCCTCCTCCTGGTTGGGGGCGGAGTCTGCCTCAGGTGGAGGAGTCTTGACGTTAGGATATAGCGAGAGATAAATAAATCTTCCTCAGTAAAAAGGATTTGGTCTCGGCTGTCTGAGCTAAATCAATTTATCCAAATCATTCAAGGAGCTTTCAACAGGTAAGATACTTATTGTTAATAACCTACAAAACCCCACTTTAAAGTGTTTSAAGTGTCASTTTAAAGGCAAGCAGAAGAGGGGGGACTTTCAGTGAAACCCTAGGGCTGTTCCTCCAGTAGTCGTAATTGTGATAGATAGATAGATAGATAGATAGATAGATAGATAGATAGATAGATAGATAGATAGATAGATAGATAGATAGATAGATAG